ACCAAGTTCTCAACTTCAAACTCAGCGTCTCCTTCGTTGAACGGAGGCGGTCTAGCATCGTCGGTTCCATTGTAGCTGCCGTGAGGTAGGCCTTGGCAAAGGATTGTTTCGTTAGTTAATTCATTGAGGTTACATTCGATATTAGAGACTCTGGTAGTTATTTCAGCCTGCGCTTTGTGGAATGTTTCACAGCCCTCTGTAAGATCGCTGCTGCTTATCATGACCGTCTCACTAGTGACGCTCTTTGGAGAGAAGGACTCGGGGTGAGTGTCTGTGGTAGGTTGTCAGAAGCCGCTAGTGATGTAATATCGAAGAGTTTCATACCATTACTCTGATGCAAGGTGGCTGGTGTTGCTTGCGATGTATTGTTCAAGTCTATCAGTTTTTCATCTATCTCCATTTCTGGCGTGAACATTGCCGGGTCTAACATTTCCTTAGATGAAATGGATGATAGTGGAGTGCTGGAGCCCAATGCCGCCGTATCAAAGATCATGCCGCCTGGACTATAGAAAGGCGTGGATTCCAGGGAGTCATCGACAAGTGTCGGAGATAGAACACCTTCTGTTCTCAGATCGTCCATATCACAGTTGGAAGAAGATCTTCGACTTGAAGAGAAAACCATTATATCGTCAGCCTCAAGATCGCTGCGACATCGTCGCATCATCTGTCTTTTTGCAGGCTCAATGTCGTCATATTCGCATCTGGGTCGCTTCGTCTTTGGGACGGCACTGACGCGCTCGACTCCGAAAGCGTCTTGAAGGTGGAATTGCAGTTCCAAGATAGAGTCGAACTTTCCTGGGCAGTGCGAGTGTGCACGTGGACATTGTAGAGCTGTGGACCTATCTTGAAGCAATCTGACGTGCGTTTGGATGTGGCCGAGCCAGGTCCACCGGATCTTGAATTGATGCATACGTACCGAAGCTGACAGCCGTTTATCCTCCATGCAGAACGGGCAATATCCAGCTCTCGCGAGAACGCCGCCATAGATGAGAGGGTCACACCAGATGGGGAGGCAGTCTGGATGGTCCAGGTGGTATTGACAATGTCCTTCCCAGGCATCATGGCCATAGAGCCACTCATCGCAGAGGAAGCATAGCTCTGAGAAGCCATGCTCTCTTGTAGTGATCGCCTTGTGGCATTCATAAATATGTCGCCAATCGTAAGGGTAGCTGCTACCTCTTCCGCACTGGCACATTTCTAACTCCAATCCCGGTCGGAACTCTACGCTGGAACGCTTCTGGTAAAGGGACAGCATATCCTGCAGCACCGCGAGGCCTGTAGGGCTTCGCAATATGTCAACTTCGAACATGTTTCGCGCCAGACGGTCCCTCTCCGGCATTAGGAAGCGAACACGATCAAATATGGCCCTGTGGTATCCCGACGGATCATCATGCTTTACTGGTTGACATCTCTGCCAGTTTCGCAGCTGTTTGCCAAACAATTTTCGTTTCTCTGCGTACAGCTTCTTTCTTTTTTCGAGTGAGCCGCTGTCACTTTTACCCTTCAGTGTAAGAAGCCGTTGGTCAATGCAAATGATGTCCGGGCTATTCTCACACTCAAATTGCTCTTTCGCAGGGAGACATTGCCATAGCCTAGGGTTTCGGGGTATTGTCAGCCCGCGAAAGAGATCGAGGACCAGCGTGCGCCTTTCTTGGCCATGGTAGGCTGCTTGGCCGTCTGCGCCGTTACGAGGCAGGTAGTGTCTAGGCAAAGTATTTGGATCGGTGTGTCCGGCATATACCATCCTCGTAGCCTCGGATTCGAATTGATCTATCGAATAAACCAGATTAGTGGCGGCAGACATGAATCAGTTCGTACGTACTCATCAAGTGAAGACCTTCTGCCCGAATGTCATGGGGCCTCGGCGGCGTCGCATAACCGGCCCGCAGACCCCATAGCCGTAACCGATGACTGAAGGCAGCCGCAGTTTCGATTTCCTCACTTGACTGACTTCTGAAAAATGGTGTCTCGAGGAGCTCTTCCTTCCATTCTATCACCAGCATCTCGCCTGCCGGTGGAACAATTTGGAGAAGGTCTTCAACAGTGTCATAGTCCCTAAATGCGCTATAGGCCAGAAGCCGTGCCAGGAAAGGAAGCATAGGATTGAAGCAGAGCGGTCCAGGTGTCAACCCTTCATACAACGCATGTTGCGGCCTGTAGCCCAAATGATAAGCATATATGAGAAGAATTGCTGTACATATGAAACTGATTGTGGCTTACCTTTTGTCAGGTGTGTACGTCATGTTTTTGGCATCGCGGGTGAGTTGAATGGCAAATTCTGGCACGCCAGCCTCGTTGACGAAAGCGACGAAAGTGAGATCCTTCTTACAATAAGCAATAAGTCCAGTTTAAATCGACTGCAGCATTTATACCTTGAAATATAGCCCTCGGCCAGTACCTGAGCGGCAGCTGGACTCGATATATTCACCAATTCTAGAGGAAGAGTATGCATTCCCCAGCAACAGGCCCCAGTCATCGACACGGGTCGCAGGACGCTTATGCTCGACCCAATCTGTCGCCCACAGCTGCCTCGCAAAATTCAACATGACATTCTTTGTGGCGAATCTCCGAGGTCTTTTGGTCTTGGGCATCCCCATCTCTTCTGCCAGCGGTCCATTGATGTACTATAGGGACGATTAGCTCGTGAATATGTCGTGAGAAACCGAGGGAAGTGACGCATACCTGGGTAATAGATTGTGCTATCCCACGAGGTATCGGTCGCTCAGGGTGTTCACGTTGCCAAGCGGCCGTGAAGTTATTCCAGTGCTTCCGTACAGTTTCTGAACCAGGGACGTCGATGCCTTCCTCGCCGTCGATACTATAGGCAAATTTTCTGATGAAGTCTTTTAGAGACTTTAAGTCATATGGTGATGACTCTGGGGTTTGATTCTGATATCTGCCATTCAACGTTAAGGGGTGTCTACATGTTGGTAATTAGAATGAACATGTTGAACTAACTCTATCCATAGTTGCATCATCTTTCGATAATTTCGCTCCACTGCAGGCTGAAGCCTTTTGAAGACCGGCTCGCTGTTCACAATGTCGCTGTCTCTACCGATGCTTCTCTGAGAGCCCAGAAGGAGCGCATCAGCGGCGCTTTTTACTTTTCCCATTAGGGAAGATAGATTGGTGGATAGACGAGCAACCTTCTCAAACACTAATGCCAGCTCAGAGTCATTCACAATTGATAAGAGCCTCAAATGCCATAGAGTGATCACGAAAGTTAGGGAGTCAGCCTTCGATTATGGAATTCGAGTTGAAATACCAAGCTGAAGCGTGGACGGAAAGAGCCATATTTAAGCCATACACAAGACAGATCCTATTTGCCCCCTTGACGTAACTCGACCTCAGAATATCTCACATCCATGGATCACACCTTCCAGGGATTAGACCATACATTCCCAACGTCCTCACGGACTAGCCGTAGAGGGATCTAGACTTGGGAACTTGGGCCCAAAACAAGACCCAAGGCGGCCTCCCGGTTAGGGTTGCCATAACCCTCGTGAAGTCATGGAGATTAGGCAGGGTGACGGAAATAGCCCTAGAGCTTGAGGGCCTGGAAATGGGATCAAGAGGCTATCCTGGTGCTGCTCAGGAAAAGGGTGAGCAGAATCTGGTGCAGGCTGAGCGAGCCTGATGAGGACTGATCCAGAACTGAGCCGAAGTTGAGCC